GGCTGGTGAAATTGCTGACCTAGAAAATGTACAGAGAACCTTCACGGCGCTCATAACGGAGATAAAACACCTCAATTACTGGGAGCGCTTGAGGTTCCTAAACCTGTATTCCCTGGAACGCAGGCGGGAGAGATACATGATTATATACACCTGGAAAATCCTAGAGGGTCTAGTACCAAACTTGCCCACGAAAATCACTCACTACGAAAGCAAAAGACTTGGCAGAAGATGCAACATCCCCCCAATGAAAAGCAGGGGTGTCACTAGCACGTAAAGAGACCATACAGTAAGTGTCAGGGGCCCGAGACTGTTCAACTGCCTCCCAGCATACATAAGGGGGATTACCAACAGACCCCTGGCAGTCTTCAAGCTGGCACTGGACAAGCACCTAAAGTCGGTTCCTGACCAGCCGGGCTGTGGCTCGTACAATGGTTTGCGTGCAGCCAACAGTAACAGCCTGGTTGATCAGGCTCTGATCAGGCCTGGTCACAGACCGGGCCACGGGGGCGTTGACCTCCGGAACTCTCTCCATGTAAATTCCCTCTCCCCTACTGTGTTCACTCCCCCTACAGTGTTCACTCCCTCTACCCCCCTGCAGTGTTCACTCCCTCTACCCCCCTGCAGTGTTCACTCCCTCTACCCCTCTGCAGTGTTCACTCCCTCTGCCCCCCTGCAGTGTTCACTCCCTCTGCCCCCCTGCAGTGTTCACTCCCTCTGCCCCCCTGCAGTGTTCACTCCCTCTGCCCCCTGCTGTGTTCACTCCCTCTGCCCCCCTGCTGTGTTCACTCCCTCTGCCCCCCTGCAGTGTTCACTCCCTCTGCCCCCCTGCAGTGTTCACTCCCTCTGCCCCCTGCAGTGTTCACTCCCTCTGCCCCCTGCAGTGTTCACTCCCTCTGCCCCCCTGCAGTGTTCACTCCCTCTGCCCCCCTGCAGTGTTCACTCCCTCTGCCCCCCTGCAGTGTCACTCCCTCTGCCCCCCTGCAGTGTCCACTCCCTCTCCCCCACCTGCAGTGTCCACTCCCTCTCCCCCACCTGCAGTGTCCACTCCCTCTCCCCCACCTGCAGTGTCCACTCCCTCTCCCCCACCTGCAGTGTCCACTCCCTCTCCCCCACCTGCAGTGTCCACTCCCTCTCCCCCACCTGCAGTGTCCACTCCCTCTCCCCCACCTGCAGTGTCCACTCCCTCTCCCCCACCTGCAGTGTCCACTCCCTCTCCCCCACCTGCAGTGTCCACTCCCTCTCCCCACCTGCAGTGTCCACTCCCTCTCCCCCACCTGCAGTGTCCACTCCCTCTCCCCCCCTGCAGTGTCCACTCCCCTCTCCCCCTCCTGCAGTGTCCACTCCCTCTCCCCCCTGCAGTGTCCACTCCCTCTCCCCCTGCAGTGTCCACTCCCTCTTCCCCCCTGCAGTGTCCACTCCCTCTTCCCCCCCTGCAGTGTCCACTCCCTCTGCCCCCCCCCCTGCAGTGTCCACTCTGCTCCCTGCAGTGTCCACTCTCCCCCCTACAGTGTTCACTACCTCTTACCTCCTATAGTGTTCTCTCCCTTTTACCCCTTTAGTGTTCACTCCCTCTCCTCCCTTCAGTGTCCACTCCCTCTCCCCTCCCTGCAGTGTTCACTCCCTCTCCCCTCCCTGCAGTGTTCACTCCCTATCCCCTCCCTGCAGTGTTCACTCCCTCTCCCCTCCCTGCAGTGTTCACTCCCTCTCCCCCCCTGCAGTGTTCACGCCCTCTCCCCCTACAGTATTCACTCCCTCTCTCCCCTGCAGTGTTCACCCAATCTCTCCCTACTGTGTTCACTCCCCCTACAGTATTCACTACCTCTCTCCTACAGTGTTCACTCCCTCTCTCCCCTGCAGTGTTCACTCCCTCTCTCCCCTACAGTGTTCACTCCCTCTGCTCCCTAGTGTTCACTCCCTTTCCCCCCCTAGTGTTCACTCCCTTTCCCCCCTAGAGGGCTCACTCCCTTTCCCCCCTGCAGTGTTCACTCCCTTTCCCCCCTGCAATGTTCACTCCCTTTCCACCCTGCAGTGTTCACTCCCTTTTCCCTCTGCAGTGTTCACTCCCTTTCCTTCCTGCAGTGTTCACTCCCTTTCCCCCTGCAGTGTTCACTCTCTTTCCCCCTGCAGTGTTCACTCCCTTTCCCCCCTGCAGTGTTCACTCCCTTTCCCCCCTGCAGTGTTCGCTCCCTTTCCCCCCTGCAGTGTTCGCTCCCTTTCCCCCCTGCAGTGTTCACTCCCTTTCCCCTCTGCAGTGTTCGCTCCCTTTCCCCCCTGCGTGTTCGCTCCCTTTCCCCCCTGCCGTGTTCGCTCCCTTTCCCCCTGCCGTGTTCGCTCCCTATCCCCCTGCCGTGTTCGCTCCCTCTCCCCTTCTGCCGTGTTCGCTCCCTCTCCCCTTCTGCCGTGTTCGCTCCCTCTCCCCTTCTGCCGTGTTCGCTCCCTCTCCCCTTCTGCCGTGTTCGCTCCCTCTCCCCTTCTGCCGTGTTCGCTCCCCTCCCCCTTCTGCCGTGTTCGCTCCCTCTCCCCTTCTGCCGTGTTCGCTCCCTCTCCCCTTCTGCCGTGTTCGCTCCCTCTCCCCTTCTGCCGTGTTCGCTTTTCCCCCTCCCCTTCTGCCGTGTTCGCTCCCTCTCCCCTTCTGCCGTGTTCGCTCCCTCTCCCCTTCTGCCGTGTTCGCTCCCTCTCCCCTTCTGCCGTGTTCGCTCCCTCTCCCCTTCTGCCGTGTTCGCTCCCTCTCCCCTTCTGCCGTGTTCGCTCCCTCTCCCCTTCTGCCGTGTTCGCTCCCTCTCCCCTTCTGCCGTGTTCGCTCCCTCTCTCCCTTCTGCCGTGTTCGCTCCCTCTCCCCTTCTGCCGTGTTCGCTCCCTCTCCCCTTCTGCCGTGTTCGCTCCCTCTCCCCTTCTGCCGTGTTCGCTCCCTCTCCCCTTCTGCCGTGTTCGCTCCCTCTCCCCTTCTGCCGTGTTCGCTCCCTCTCCCCTTCTGCCGTGTTCGCTCCCTCTCCCCTTCTGCCGTGTTCGCTCCCTCTCCCCTTCTGCCGTGTTCGCTCCCTCTCCCCTTCTGCCGTGTTCGCTCCCTCTCCCCTTCTGCCGTGTTCGCTCCCTCTCCCCTTCTGCCGTGTTCGCTCCCTCTCCCCTTCTGCCGTGTTCGCTCCCTCTCCCCTTCTGCCGTGTTCGCTCCCTCTCCCCTTCTGCCGTGTTCGCTCCCTCTCCCCTTCTGCCGTGTTCGCTCCCTCTCCCCTTCTGCCGTGTTCGCTCCCTCTCCCCTTCTGCCGTGTTCGCTCCCTCTCCCCTTCTGCCGTGTTCGCTCCTCTCCCCTTCTGCCGTGTTCGCTCCTCTCCCCTTCTGCCGTGTTCGCTCCCTCTCCCCTTCTGCCGTGTTCGCTCCCTCTCCCCTTCTGCCGTGTTCGCTTCCCTCTCCCCTTCTGCCGTGTTCGCTCCCTCTCCCCTTCTGCCGTGTTCGCTCCCTCTCCCCTTCTGCCGTGTTCGCTCCCTCTCCCCTTCTGCCGTGTTCGCTCCCTCTCCCCTTCTGCCGTGTTCGCTCCCTCTCCCCTTCTGCCGTGTTCGCTCCCTCTCCCCTTCTGCGTGTTCGCTCCTTCCCTTGCCGTGTTCGCTCCCTCTCCCCTTCTGCCGTGTTCGCTCCCTCTCCCCTTCTGCCGTGTTCGTTTCCTCTCCCCCCTGCCGTGTTCGCTCCCTCTCCCCTTCTGCCGTGTTCGTTTCCTCTCCCCCCCTGCCGTGTTTGCTCCCTCTTTTCCCTACAGTGTTCGCTCCCTCTCCCCTGGTGTGCTCACCTGACGTGATTCCCAGCAGTCTTTAAATGTGAACCTGGATTGCTGAAACTAAAAAATTATTTGATCAGTAATATGGTCACTGGCTTATAGAATCTCTGTCTTACCATAACAATGATGAGTGTGTAATTTGAAAACACTGGCTGTTTTCCAGCTGCGACTCGGGTAACAACACCATATATAGAGTACACCTTATTTACATGCAACATTTCATTAATTTTCAGCTTTGTTCCAACCAGAATATTAGAGCACTGAATTTTCGTCAAAGATACAGTACTATGTTCCACAATCAGCTCTCCTTCCCTCATATCACTCTCATTTACCCCTATCTCACCTATCTAATCTTTGCATTAGGCTCAACAACAATAAATCATCTCAGACCATTAATTACCCAACAAAAGGCTGCAGTCAGAATGATAAATTCCCCCTCCAGGCAGCATCCTCAACCAATATTCAAAACCCTGAACTTACTCACTGTACAAAACATCCATACTTATTGTTGTGCCTACTACATACATAGAACACTAAACTCAGATATAAACCCTCCCCTCAAACTTCTTACCAACCTCAGCAGAACACACGACCATAACACAAGGCACAGATCACTCTTTGATGTCCCCCGTGTCCATCTCGCACTATGTAAAAACTCAATGCACATAAAATGCCCAAAAATTTGGAATTCGTTACCTGTGAATACAAAAGAAACACTGTCTATCAATTCAAGACTCTTCTTAAAAAACACTTACCCAAAACTAAATAAATATTGCACAACTGTATTTCATAAATGTATAACCCATGACCCTATCAAACTATGTTTTTAATTGTAATGCTACAAATTTGTAAAACTATAATGCATCATAATTGAAATGTTCAAATTTCATTGTTTAAAATACTCGATTGTACTTCATATTGTAAATTGTTTACTGTAATTTTTACCACTGAATCTATCATTGCTTAGTTAATCTTAAGTTAATTTTAAGCCTGTCCATAATGCCTTGCATACAAGGGGCTTTTGGCATGTACACCCAACTACTGTAATTCCTTGTACAACTATGTATCATGTCCAAATAAAATATTATTGTTCTTTGTTCCAGCCAGGATATTAGAACACAATGTTCATTGTTCCAGCCAGGGTATTAGAGCACTGAAGGCTCTTGGGGTTCTGGTGTTCTATGAATTTCATTAATCCTTTCAGCTAAGCTTGCTAGGGTATCCTGAATGTGTACTTTTCTAAAAAGTATTGATGTACACCAGCTCGGGAACCATGACCATGGGCGTGTGGCATCACGTCTAGGCACTGATCTGGTGGATGCCCTCAACATGATGATTCTGCTGTTACCTGGGACACCCATCACTTACTATGGCGAGGAAATAGGTAGGTAATATCCACAACTTGTCCCTGTGTGTGTGTGTATGTGTGTGTGTGTGTGTGTGTGTGTGTGTGTGTGTGTGTGTGTGGGTGGGTGGGTGGGTGTGGGTGGGTCGGTGGGGTGAGGATGCTACATGCTCAGAAAGTCCTGGGCATTTAATCTATTCATAGAGAAGTCCTACCTTCATACTTGGTAAGAATAATACTGTGTACTAGAGTGAATTGCACGTCTCTGGACCATTTTTGTAAGATAAAATGTATAATGCACGTCCTTGCAAAGCCCAAAATGTTCTCTTAGCAAGGGGCTTTCTATGTAGTATGTCATTGATGTCAGTTATGCCTGAATGAGTTGTATCATGTACCTGTAGAAATAGATTATTATCATCATCATCATCATCAAATCCAATGTGTACTTGGCAAATTGTTCCACTTGTGCTATGCTGTCTTAGAATAGACAGTCTGTACCATCTTTTTATAGACATTTTATGCCATTTTAGGCCCGGTGGCCTGGTGGCTAAAGCTCCCGCTTCACACACGGACGGCCCGGGTTCGATTCCCGGCGGGTGGAAACATTTCAACACGTTTCCTTACACTTGTTGTCCTGTTCACCTAGCAGCAAATAGGTACCTAGGTGTTAGTCGACTGGTGTGGGTCGCATCCTGGGGGACAAGATTAAGGACCCCAATGGAAATAAGTTAGACAGTCCTCGATGACGCACTGACTTTCTTGGGTTATCCTGGGTGGCTAACCCTCCGTGGTTAAAAATCCGAACGAAATCTTATCTTAATATTATATATCTTTCAGCAGACATTCTATACTGTACTATAGTTTTAATATATTTTCTGTATACATATTCAATAGACATTCTATATTATTTTTTAAAAGATATGCTATGTATTTTACAGTAGTATATATTCAGTGTTATCAATAAAATGATAAGAACTTTATTTGCAACTTGTCATCTGGAGCACTGACGTAATGACTGAATATATCACCACCTTCTCTATGCTCTTATTTCCATCTTAATCAACTATATAATTAAACTGGATGAGACAGGTCAGTGGAGAGACGGGTAGTGCACAAGTGATGGTGAATGACTTATTCCTCTTCAACAGTTATTGCTGTTGCTTTTAGTAACAGTATGTAGTAGTAATAGTAACAATTGATATTTTTATCTAGTACAGAAATACTTTATAAGTAGATACAAAACACTCATATATAACATATAAATGTATAGTTTATTATACACCTAAAGTTGCAGAGTATATTAGAAACAAATGTCAAACCTTATAATACTAAAAAAAAATCCTCTCTGTATAAGTATAATCAAGCACCTCAGTTACTGGGACTATTTGAAGTCCCTTGATCTGTACTCCTTGGAATGCAGGCAAGAAAGATTCATCATAATTTACACCTGAAAAATCCTAGACAGACCAGTCCCAAATCTGCACACAGGAATCACTCCCTATTAAAGCAAAAGACTCGGCAGGTGGTGCAATATCTCCCCAGTGAAAAGCAGGATTGCACAATAACACAATAAGTGTCAGGTGCCCAAGACTGTTCAACTGCCTCCCAGCATACATAAGAATGATTGCCAGTAGACTCCTGGCTGTCTTCAAGAAGGAACTGGACAGATACCTAAAATCAGTACCTGACCTGTTGAACTGTAGTTCGCACATTGCATTGCTTGTGGTCAGCATTAACAGCCTGGTTGATCAGGCCTTGATCCACCATGAGGCCTGGTCATGGACTGGGCCACGGGGGCATTGTATCCCCGGAACCCCCAGCTAATACAATGACATCTAGAGCCTAACTTGGCACATCAGCATTATAAATATTTTTAAATAGGTGATTTTCTTAAATAAATAATATACAAATACCAGACCAGATCAATTTAGTTGTATAATACTGTTAACAGAACTCTGTATTTTACCTGTAACTAGGGACTGTGATGTATTACAGGTACACAGACTGTGTATCTGTGATACATCACATTCCTGTCAGCAATAATATTAATTGAATAGGTTGGTATAATAACTCAAATGTGTCTGACTAATGTTAATTTTTAGAGGTGGACAGGTAAGCCGGTGGAAGGCCTCAGTTAGATGACCATAAGCTCCAGCTGCGGGCCATCATATTACTAAGACCCATGTCAGGAAACACTTGTCCTGTTTCCTGACCAATCTTACCTGACCTCAAATGTTTTTTAAGGTGTTATTGAAAGCTGTACTAAAAGATATAAAATTAAAACTACCAAAAATATATGTATTATTCCAAAGACAGATAGCATATACTGGCCTATAATATGCATTAAAGAAATATTTAAGTGTATCAGCACTAATATATTTAAAACATCTCGATATTACAATATTACTAGGATAAAAGTAATTTATTTTAAATATGTGTGTATCAGTGCTAATTCAGTGGACTGTCATTTAACCCTTTGAGGGTTTCAGCCGTACTAGTACAGCTTACGACCCAGGGTTTTTGACGTACTAGTACGCCTAAATTCTAGCGCCCTCAAATCTTGTGGGAGAAAGCTGGTAGGCCTACATATGAAAGAATGGGTCTGTGGTCAGTGTGTGCAGTATAAAAAAAAATCCTGCAGCACACAGTGCATAATGAGAAAAATAAACTTTGACCCTGTTTTCGGAATAAAACAGCGACTTTGCACTGTATTTTCATATGGTATCTATTGTTGTATTCTAGTTTTCTTGGTCTCATTTTATAGAATGGAAGACATATTACAGAAATTGAGATGATTTTGACTGGTTTTACAATGAAAAGTGCCCTGAAATTGAGCTCAAAGTAGCAGAAATGTTCGATTTTTACCAAAGTTCAAAAGTAAACAAATCACGCCAAGCGTCCAGTACACGTCAACTGGCGAGTCTAATATTCTTTCACAAGTGCCCTGATATTATTTATACCATTTCTACACTAATGCAGTAGTCTGCATAACAGTAAATCTTCTATTTTTTGTGAGAATAAAAATTGAAAGTGGAAAGCCAAAGAAATATAAGAGGAGCCTGGGGATGTGACTAACGAACAGAGAACTTGTTATTTTAGTGCCAGGAATGTCTTTCTTGTTTATTCTGGACCCTATTCAGAAATTGGCAACTTTTGAAATTTGTGTGAAATTGGCAAAATTGCTAAATTTTGACCACTTTATTGGATAGTTGAAATCGGTAAATGGGTGGTTTCTTGTACTCATTCGATAGAAAAAATAGTTCTAGCGAAATAGTTATGATTTTTGTCGACTAGTACATTGGAATTGGCCAAAAATAGAGCTCAAACTGGGCAAAATTGCCAATGCGTAAACAGCGTCGAGACCGCTAACTTCACGAGAACATAATTCCATAAGTTTTCCATCAAATTTCATACTTTTGGTGTCATTATGATCGGGAAAAGATTCTCTATCGTTTCATAAGAATTTTTTTTTTTTTTTTTTTTTTTTTTTTTTTTTTTTTTTTTTGAAATTTGGCCGACCCTGAGAACAAGTCTCGGAGAGGGCCTGTCGACCCTCAAAGGGTTAACACGGTAGTTATGTTCCTGAAAACACCGTGTTAGGTAAAAAAAAAACATGTTAGATGAACTGAAGAACTTACGGGAAAAATGGGGTAACGTTCTGGAGAGCCCCAAAAAAGCCAAACAACTTTGTTTTAGGCCTCCACATCTTGCAAAAATAAAAGTGAATATGTAGTTGTAGTTCATTGTTATGATGTACAGTGAACCCCCGCCTTACGAACCCATCGCGTTATGTTAAATCCGCCATACGAAGCATTTGAACGCAAAAATTTTGCCTCGCCTCATGATAAAAAACTCTCCTTACGTGATTCGTCCGGGCCGCGTCCCACATGTGGCCTCAGCTGCCCTGTGGGTGGCAGTGTTTACAAGCCAGCCACCGCTGTCGTATCTAAGCATGCATTCGGTACATTTCATATTATCACAGTGTTTTTAGTGCTTGTAACTGCAAAATAAGTCACCATGGGCCCCAAGAAAGCTTCTAGTGCCAACCCTGTGGTAAAAAGGGGGAAAATTACTACGGAAATGAAGAAAGAGATAATTGCTAATTACAAAAGTGGAGTGCATGTCTCGGAGCTGGCCAGGTTGTATACCAAACCCCAATCAACCATTGCTACTATTGTGGCCAAGAAAACGGCAATCAAGGAAGCTGTTCTTGCAAAAGGTGCGACTTTGTTTTCAAAACAGAGATCGCAAGTGATAGATGATGTTGAGAGACTGCTATTGGTGTGGATAAACGAAAAACAGATAGCAGGAGATAGCTTTCTCTCAAGCAATCATATGTGAAAAGGCTAGGAAGTTGCATGATGATTTAATTAGAAAAATGCCTGCAACTAGTGGTGATGTGAGTGAATTTAAGGCCAGAAAAGGTTGGTTTGAGAGATTTAAGAATTGTAGTGGCATACATAGTGTGATAAGGCATGGTGAGGCTGCCAGTTCGGACCAAAAAGCAGCTGAAAAATACGTGAAGGAATTCAAGGAGTACATAGTGAAGAATTGAAACCTGAACAAGTATTTAATTGTGACAAAACAGGCCTGTTTTGGAAGAAAATGCCAAGCAGGACCTACATTACTCAGGAGGAAAAGGCACTCCCAGGACATAAGCCTATGAAAGACAGGCTTACTCTTTTGATGTGTGCTAATGCTAGTGGTGATTGCAAAGTGAAGTCTTTATTGGTGTATTACTCTGAAGCTTCCAGAGCGTTCAGGCAAAACAATGTCCTCAAGGCTAATTTGTGTGTGCTGTGGAGGGCAAACAGTAAGGCATGGGTCACTAGGGACTTTTTCTATGGCTGGTTACACCATGCATTTGCCCCCACTGTGAAAAATTACCTAATGGTATTAGACAATGCTCCTGGTCATCCTTCAGACTTGGCAGTGCAACTTTCTGGAGACATGAGCTTCATTAAGGTCAAATTTTTGCCTCCTAATACCACTCCTCTCCTGCAGCCCATGGACCAGCAGGTCATTTCAAACTTCAAAAA